GCCATATAGCTGGAATATTCCCGAATGCGTACAACTAAACTCACTCACTCACTCATGTCAGAATCGGAGTCATCTACTGGCAACAAGTCAAAGGTGTTCAGGCAACAATCATCTGCCATACAAATAGACATGCCTCTGCGCACACTATATCATTCTTTCTGCTGGCATGATGACTTTTTGCTTTTACACGATGTCAGTTCAACCAATCCACGGGGAGCAGGATCTCTTGACATCAGAATAGCTGACCATCACAAATGCTCCAACCATGGTCAACTGGTGAAGGAATGTTCATGATTGGTTGCAGAGACTGTTTCCAAACATGGACTTTGTAGTTTACTCGTTCAATGTGATGTTTTTTTGGACTTGTTTTTTCATTCAATATCTTGTGTCATCTACAGACATCACTGGATTATTTGGTACATGCATAGAACTCACAAACTGGCCACAAGATGTAATGAGTGTTTCTTGAACATCCAAATTGTCATCCATTTGTTGTGTGAAGCTTCTCATCCCTGGGCTTTACAGCCTTTTTGGGAATCAATGTAGAAAAGGTTTTCAGGTTCAGTCGATGTAAAGGTGACCACAAGTTTGTCCTGGAAGAGTTCAATCGACTACTTATCTAGTTATCCCTTTGCTCTGCCCCAATCTGTTTAACATGCAAGAGGCTGTGAATCATATCCTTTGGGACAACAACTCCACTTCCAATGTTCACAAGATGCAGACTATCCAAATTGTCACCCAATTGTGTCAATGTTTGTTAGTGATTTTCAGAGGACTTCTGTAAGTCAATTCCCCATGTCGAACGTTCTACACGTTCTAAAATGGGACGGAGTAATAACGTACTAAAAATGAGATTGCCATACTAAGAACGGAATTGCCATACTACGAACAGAATCGTGGCGGACGTAGTGCAGTCCGGCATCAATTGCAATACGTTTGTACACAGTTTCCACCTGGTCCATCCCGTTTGCAGAGCTCTACTGAACTCTAGTTAGTCGCTATTCCAAGAAAATATGTTCAAAACAAAATGAATCGTTCTGAAGAAACTTGTAGTACATGGTTCTAACAGTTTGCAATGGGTTCTCATCACGTTCTACTCGTTGTTAGTATGTTTATGTAGTTCTCATGCAGTTCTTACTATGTCAACTCTGTGTGCATTACGAAATGACAAGGTAGGGTATATATACATGCGTTTTTAACATGGTCGTCCTTTGGGATAGAGTTTCTATGAACAAGTTTGCAGCTGTCAAAATATTGAATGCTGGTTTCCTGCAATTTTGATCGGAAGCAGAGCAAGAGTACAATGAGTTGGTAGAGCAAGAAAGAAGGAAAACACAAGAACGTGTTGGGTGAGGAACTGGCTTAAACCTGAGAGGTGAATAGCTGTGGGACATTATCATCACCTGATGGAGGAGCTCCGCCTTGATGATCATGAGTCCTTCTACAATTTCTTGAGAATCACCCCCTCCCATGTTTGATGAACTTCTTGAACGCATTGACCCCTTTATAACTTAGATGTTCACCCTTCTTCTTCCTTGGAGGCATGGTGATGTCAATGTTTCCACCTTGAAACTGAGAACGGAATAAGAATGGGCAGGGTATTTATATAAATCGAACCAGGAAGTGATTGCTATTACGATTGCACGCACTAGAAACGGAGTGAGAAAGTAGTGAGAACGGAAAGAAGTGCCTGAAAATGAGTTGGTTTAGAAGAATGAGTTAGAACGGGGTTGTGCGTATTAAGAACGAGATAGGTTTAGTTCAGAAGGGATATAAAGTGACTATGGACGGGATTGGACTGCTTGAAAACGTTGTCCACACGGGCTGAACGGGCAATTTTACCCACTCTAAACGTAACACCAACTGTCTGGGGGCGGGGTAAAGACGTGACAGACGTACTGAGAACTGTTAATGATCAAACTAGCATTGTAATTTATACAAAAGTTACACGTTCTATCCCGTTCGAGCTCACTTTACAGTTATTCTTTGGACAGGGCAGGACGTCCTAAGAACTACATTGGTGTGACTCAGGCTTTACCAACAGGTAACACCATCGTTCGTTCATACATGCTACAAGACTAGACTTGTTGACAGGACTGCTGATGGGTTTGTCCCATTGTCTTGGCAGTGGTTTGTTTTTTGCCAACAATCTTGACTTCTAGCGCCGTTGGCGATCCTCTTTTGATTTGCTCCCCTGCTTTAGTCCCAAACAACATCAACTCTAATGCAGTCTGTTCGATTCAGAATTGAAGTGAAGTTGTCCCAATGCATATCAGCCAAGTGTCCAAATGTGGAAGCAGCTTCCTTTCTGAACATTTGCAATTTTGCCATTCCATCAACTATATGAACTGGCAACATTCTCTCTTCTGCTAGTATAAGCAGCAAAGGACCAAAAGCTTCCTTTTAAAGTTCATTTAACAAACCGCTTTTGATGTTCTTTCTTAATGTTCCATCTAAATGAGCCATTGTAAAATGAACACTAGAAATGTCCATGTTCACATCAAGGTTGATGACAAGTCCATTCAATCTTCCAAATGAATGATGTCTGCATCTTGTGAACATTGGAAGTGGAGTTGTTGTCCCAAAGGATATGATTCACAGCCTCTTGCATGTTAAACAGATTGGGGCAGAGCAAAGGGATAACTAGATAAGTAGTCGATTGAACTCTTCCAGGACAAACTTGTGGTCACCTTTACATCGACTGAACCTGAAAACCTTTTCTACATTGATTCCCAAAAGGCTGTAAAGCCCAGGGATGAGAAGCTTCACACAACAAATGGATGACAATTTGGATGTTCAAGAAACACTCATTACATCTTGTGGCCAGTTTGTGAGTTCTATGCATGTACCAAATAATCCAGTGATGTCTGTAGATGACACAAGATATTGAATGAAAACCTCCAACCAACATCCAACAGTCTAAAACATCACATTGAACGAGTAAACTACAAAGTCCATGTTTGGAAACAGTCTCTGCAACCAATCATGAACATTCCTTCACCAGTTGACCATGGTTGGAGCATATGTGATGGTCAGCTTATCCCTATTCTGATGTCGAGAGATCCCGCTCCCCGTGGATTGGTTGAACTGACATCGTGTAAAAGCAAAAAGTCATCATGCCAGCAGAAAGAATGATATAGTGTGCACATAGGCATGTCTTTTGTATGGCAGATGATTGTTGCCTGAACACCTTTGACTTGTTGCCAGTAGATGACTCCGATTCTGACATGAGTGAGTGAGTGAGTTTAGGTTTACACCGCACTCAGCAATATTCCAGCTATATGGCGGTCTTCTGTAAATAATCGTGTCTGGACCAGACAATCCAGGGATCAACAGCATGAACATCAATCTGCGCAATTGGGATACGATGACATGTGTCAACCCAGTCAGCGAGCCTGACAACTAGATCCCGTTAGTCGCCTCTTACGACAAGCATGGGTTATTGAAGATCAATTCTAACCCGGATCTCTACAGGTCCGATTCTGACATGAAGTAACATATGAAATGAAAGAAAGTGAAAAGGAGGATTAATTGCAAGCTTATGGATGTATCAAAAGTGATTAAGAGTTATCTGATAGAACAATTTGAATACCTACAACCAAAGCTTAGACGTAGTTATTGGCCATGAAGCATAGTTTTCAAACACTTTTGGATAATGTTATTTCATCAAATATTTTAGGAGTGTGAAGCTTTGACTGACCCTATCATTGAAATTTAGCTCTATTCCTATACTGTATTAAACATTAGACACCAAATGATATGTTTGGATTTCATATCAGTACAAATTTAGTCTTCCAATAAGTATATGTAGTTAAACTACAATGGCGGCCATTTTGGCAGCCATTTTGAATTCTGGGTAATATATAAAAATCCCTAATAATATGCCGTCACTCTAGAAGTAAAGAGAAAACAAAAAGAACTTGTTTTAGTAACAAAAATAATGTCAACTGCCATTAAATAAATCACCCTCACACATTTCCATGAAAAGTCGGAGAATCGCTAAAATACCCCTGACTCAAAGAATGAGCTGTAAAACATTAAATTACCACGATATGACCAACCAAATGACTTGTTTTGTGCCCAAGCCATCACTCTAGGAGAAACAAGTGTCAAAACACATCAAAAGTATCAACTTTGGATGTAAATGGAAACATTCAGTGTTCATTTTTATGTAGATTGAAGTGCTGAGAAGGCAAAACACGACAAAACAAAATGGCGGCCAAAATGGCGGCCATTTTGATTTTTTTTTCAAAACAAAATTATGTCAAATAATTTCTACATCCTTTAGCAGTACACAAAAGTCAAAATGAAAGTGATCAGATTGATAGTAGTAAAACTATTAATGATTAACTTTGAGGTGTTGTCGAGGAGCAAACGAAATGTGACGAAATGGCTCGCAGACCCCCACCACATATAATGGCCTGTAAAAAAAAACTGATACCACAATCTGAGAGTATTACAGGCCTTTTCATGAGCCCAAGACATCATACTAACTGAAAATAGTGTCAAACAAAATCAGTACTGGGAGGCTACGAAATCCTATTTCTAGGCCTCTTTTTGAGATTCTCCGCCTAGATATAATAAATATTAAGAACATAATCCTTTTATAATACACATGTTATCCTGTTTCTAATAGTTCACAGCAGCAATACGGAAACACACGAAGGCTATAAATCTCATATCTAGGCCCATGTTGAAGTTCACTCATAGGTACAGCGTAGGCGTCTTGCCATGGGTCAAAGTCTAACTGCAGTAAACGCCCCTATGTATGCATATTTAGTACAAACTGATTGACCTCAGTATTGCACACATGGAAAAGTATTTGAAACGTACAAATCTTGATCGAGCAAATAGTTACATATTGGCACAGGGTTTTGTTACAAAATTAAATCGACTGGTTTCCAAACTTACTCTCAATTGTATAAAAACTGTAAGACGACTGAGATCTTAGGCAAAAAGCATGATACTCTATTCTTCACTCTTTCAGTATAATTACTCACCTTCCTTGATGAACGGCACTATCTTGGTTTCTCCTCTCTTGGTCTGTGATGGCAAGGCTATGATTGGTTTTCCCAATCCGTCGCGACAGAGAGACGCACCACGGATGAAGTCTATTTGACCTCCAAAACCTGCAACGTTGATGGCAATATGGAATGTAAATTAGTGATAACATTCATAGCTACCAATAAGAGGATTCGTTAAGTAGGAACTATCAAGAAAATACTTCAGGCTTTACCATACAGACTCATTTCTCTAGATATATAAATATTTTAATGATCCTTCTCAAACCCCAGAAGACATATTTCATAAAACATTTATCCGCATCACCTTATGTGTTCAAACAATCTTTAACACATCCCTTATCCAGGCTGAAATTCAGAGACTGAGGTTTTCCTTGAAAACATATGGGTTTAAGGAAGTTACGTTATTGAAGGCCACGATTTTAACATGCAAAGCGATGATTTCATTGTTTAGGTGATCGAACTTCAAGCTTTTGTACCTGCCTCTCCACCTGGGATAGCTTGCCGATACACCTTCGCTACTCCTGGCTTCATGGCCATGGTTGTCAGGATCCCTAAGTACCTGCCCTTTATTTCCAATACCTTATTTTCGAACCTAACATAAATTCTTTTTGAAACACTTTCACTGACCTGAGTACATTCTGGTCCCGATGGAATCGGACACGACCTGTCCAGTTAGGTCCACCTCAATCGCCGAGTTGATGGCCGTCACCTTGGGGTTCTGGGAAATGATGTCGGTGCTGTTGCTGTAGGCGGCGTCCACCATGACTGTTGGGAGTAGAGTTATGAGCGTCTGTTCAATGACAGGGGTTTGGTGATGTGTCCTGATTCATGGGTAAGGGAATTGGTGAAGTAGAGTTGTGGATGAGAGCTGGGTCTACAGAGTATGGATGGGTTAGGATGAAGTGGTGAACGGGTGACGTCGTGACGGAGAGGTGGGGTGAAGATGAGAATGGGCGAAGAATGACTCGGCGTCGAGGGGGACGGGCGTAGGTAGGTGAGGCGAGGTGAGGTGAGGTGAAATTGGGTTTAACGTCGTGCTTGAGAATATTTCGCTCATATGACGACGTGCATGCGTGTGTATGTGTATGTAAGGCTGCTTGTACTAACCCAGACCTAAGCTGGTTTTATAGTGCTAGCTGACTGAGATACCATGCCGCAGTGAAGCATGAATACCCCACTCAGACACATTATACTGACTCCGAGCCGACCAGTCCTTGTTGTACCCATTAATGCCGAGCGCCAGGCAGGGACCAACAAGTACCATATTTTAACGTCTTTTGGTATGACGCGGTCGGGGGGCGTAGGTAGGACGACAACTGAGTGGAGTGAGGTACGATTCTAAGTCGCTTCTTAAGAAACAAGAAACACATTAATATAGGTGTAACATATTTATATGGCGCTTGGATGAATACTCGTTGAAGCTTTAAAAAAAGGTTGATAACAACATTGTGAACTTTCACAAGTCGGCGTTAGTTGTAAATATAAACACTTTTCACTGCGTCGTTTCATTACACTAGCATCACGATAAACTAAAAAGTTACGATTGATCGTAACGCAACGAACGCTTTGTTGATTGGAACCCAAATCTATCAAAGTTGACCCAGCATAACTTCCGGAACGTGATACTCACCAACGGACGGGTTGTTGTCGAGGAAGTCGTACAGCTTCTTTGTGCCGATGGAGAAGCTGGAGAGGATCTTCCCCGGCTGGATGATTTTCTTGGTGTTGGAGACGGCGCCTGTCTCCACCAAGTCCACGACGCCATCACTGAACATCTCCGTGTGAATGCCAAGGTCACGGTGTGCACCCAGCTTATCGAGCACTGCATTGGGTATTGAGCCGATTCCTGGATCAAGAGAGGTGAGGTGAGGTGAAATTGGGTTTAACGTCGTGCTTGAGAATATTTCGCTCACATGACGACGTGCATGCGTGTGTATGTGTATGTAAGGCTGCTTGTACTAACCCAGACTTAAGCTGGTTTTATAGTGCTAGCTGACTGAGATATCATGCCGCAGTGAAGCATGAATACCCCACGCAGACCCATTATACTCACTCCGAGCCGACCAGTCCTTGTTGTACCCAATAATGCCGAGCGCCAGGCAGGGACCAACAAGTACCATATTTTAACGTTTTTTGGTATGACGCGGTCGGGGATCGAACGGATCAAGAGAGGTTCGTCAGATAGGCGACTTTGCATGATTCCAGCCACATTAAATCAAGAATGGGGTTCACAAACCTGGTGATGACACCAGTGTGCGAAATAGCCAGTAAATCTCCAGTCACTGGCCCGACTTGTTAGTGAATTTTTGGGGGTCAATTTGTAAATATATCACTCTCTCTGACTTGTTAAATTGTAATACAGTTGTAAGTCATGCAAGATTATGACCTGATAAATATATTCATCATATTAGCAGCTTAATGATGAAACCGGTGTCATGCCGACAATATCTTGTTCTCATCTATTTTGGTAATCTTTTACTTACTAATAGTTCAGGATTAAACTTCATTCATTCACAACGTAGTTTCTTTACATGGTTTAGTAATTTTGCAATTCATATATTTGTATTCATTGTATCAAGTTCTGGATTCGAACCCTTCCCTTCCTCACGGGGATGCCCCTTCACGTGAACCACACTGACTCCACATGTTACTCAATATTAACTCACTTGGCAGATGTTTGAAAGTAAAAGGGGGATAACCCCTCACGCCAGGCATCTTAATCAACATTCCAAGAGATTACTGGTTTGTCATTTCATCTTCAATAAATGCATCTTGGCAAAATAAATGGGATAATGAAACTACAGGTAGACACATGCACTCTACTTGTCCTGTAGTAAACAAACATTTTAAAATTCGTCGGCGTTGTCGCAGAGATGAAGTTGTTTTAACTCGTCTCAGGCTGGGACATTGTGGATTAAAGGCATATAGAAGTATTTTAGATAAAGACTTATCTCCTCTGTGTGAAAGCTGTAACTTACAGTGCCCAGAAACAGTTCAGCACTACCTCATTGAATGTCCAGCTCATGAAAACCCACGTAAGGCTCTTAAAGAAACTGTGCTTTAACAAAGCCCAAAATACGTTTTCAATGAACGCAATACTTGGCGATAATTTAATGTATGGTTGCATACAAAGAGCTCTTTTAGACTTCCTCGTTAAAACGGGTAAGTACGATGTTATTTAACTGAACAAAAATATAACAGTTTGTTAAGTGTTGGGCGCATATAGGCCTTTTAAGGCCCAAGGTCGCCCTAAAACCTTATATACATACATACATACATCTTAATCAAACAACATGAAGTGTAATAAAATCTGTCTGTTTGATATTGACCTATTGACCGACCGTCATGTGATGGTGGGTGAGTGATCGAGTGAGGTTAGTTTTACGCCGCACTCAGCAATATTCCGGCTATATGGCGGCGGTCTGTACCTGACAATCCAGTGATCAACAGCATGGGCATTGATCTGCGCAATTGGGAATCGATGACATGTGTCAGTCAAGCCAGCGAGCCTGACTATCCGATCCCGTTTGTCCCCTCTTACGGCAAGCATGGGTTACTGAAGTTCATTCTAACCCGGACCTTCACGGGTCCATGTGACGGTGACAAGATGAAAGACTCTACGAATATTCCACGTGACTGCTTAGTTTGAGGAGATGTACAAAAGCGTTACCAAGACGCAAGTACAATACTGTGATACAATACTTAGTCATAATAAAACTTAGTCATAATCAGATTCTTGTAAGGCATTTAGAAGTATGTGAATACATAAGACGAGTATATGGATGGCAACTTCTTGTTTATTGTATATCACAACGTTACTGGGCTACTTCTTGCCCCTTCTTCAGGTGATATTGGAAACCTGATTTTAACATATCCAACTCATAACATACAGCTACCCACCCATCTGAAGTGTTGCTCCGTCCTGGACAAGATTCTCAGCAATAAGTTTGCCAATCTCCTCTTCCTCAGACGAGGCTGTGATCTTCTCAAGCTCTGGAAGGGGTCTGTCCTCGGCGACCATGGCGTCAAAATGACACTGGTGTATCAGACCATCTCCGAATGTCCGTGGCATCTGCTTGTTCACCAGACCTGGGAGTAGAAGAATAGGTTGCTTGCTTGTTGTTTAAGGCAACAATACTCCAGCTATGTGAAGTTGCTCTGTAAATAATCGAGTCTGGAACAGACAATCCAGTGGTTGACATAGAAAGCATCGATATAGGCAAATTGGGACATGCATCGACCAAGTCAGCGACCCTGACTACCCGATCCCATTAGTCGCCTATTACGACATGCATGGGTTGATGGAGACCAATTCCGGATTTCTAATGATCTCTACGAATCTGAAGAATAGTAGTGGTGGTCCGATTAATTGAAATAATCGAAGATTGGTCGAAGTGACCAAACGACCAAGCAATCGATCACGATTTCTCTGATCGAACATAAACGATTTTGGAACTACTGTTTTAGTCTTTGAAAAACTTGACAATGGAACATATCTTAGAAGTTGTCAGGGCCTGAAAACGTGTTTAATTCTTAGAAAACTCACTTCACTAACTGAAAAGCCATGACTGAATGTTTCTTTAAGACTCAAGGAAGTTTATGTTCATGATATATTAGTCATCACTTTAAAGTAGCAAGTTGCAATCATGTTATCAATCATCAATTGTGAGATTTCAACCAATTCCCAACACTAAATTAAAGAATAGTACATCCATATACAATTGCCTGATCTATTCCATTCCATTTTCCCTAAATAGGTTAATATTCAAAGGGATCCATATGGGCAATATTGTCTTATCGGCCATTCTTTATACATGGAACGTTACACTCCACTTTTTCGAGCGAGTGAGTGAGTGTAGGTTTACACCGCGCGCCTTTAGCAATATTCCAGCAATATCACCAGAAATAGGCTTCACACATGTGCTCATGTGGGGAATCGAACCCATGCCTTCGGCGCGACGAGCGGACGCTTTAAAAACTAGGCTACCCCACCGCCCCTTATAAGATCGAAGTTACAGCAACAGTTAAACCCAATATTCAAATGCTGTCAGTCAAGAAAATCACAATAACGGCCCAATATCTACAATGTCCAGCATCCCCTAAAGCAGGATTGTCTCTCAAGGATTGTCAATGCTCTCAAAAGAACGTGCTGCGTGGTTCACCACAGTTGAAATGGGCGGACGCCTCAAGTTAGACCTGGCCAGTATGGTACTAGCCCTATTCAATATGGTTCATTTCTCCAAGTGGGGTGTTCATATTTTGTGTTCAGGGTATGATTACAATACATTGTCGTAACAACATTTATTCGCCCATCTATCAGTGCCGTTAGCAAGGTGAAGACGAAGGCCAGTGTTTGTCCTGCATAGCCTTGACATGGCACAGCGGCGTAAAACTATACCCACTCATTTCTATCGTTGAACTCACCTATTATATACTTGGCATTTTGCATGGCAGCTCGTGCACAGTCCACGCTGACTCCCAGAGAGCAGTAGCCATGTTTGTCGGGTGGGGACACGGAAATGAGAGCCACGTCGATATGAATGAGTCGCCGATGGAAGAGAAGCGGTATCTCCGAGAGGAAGATCGGGATGGCGTCAGCTGCACCGGAATTTATTGCCTTCCGTACGTTAGCGCCAATGAACAACGAGTTGGATCGGAAATGGTCTGAAAATAATGAATTCATGTTAAATTAATTGTACGAAATGTATTTTTTGTAATTGTTTTCTCGTGTTTACATAGAAATGTATATGCAGTAAATTCTATTGGATATCATGTCTATTTGTGCTCATAGGTTATTGATTATTAGCAGTGTGTTTTTCCGTATATATGCACACACACAGATATAAACCTACACACAGAGACACACACACACACACACACACACACGGAATAATAATTGTATAATGGTAGCCTCCCGCCGACCGTAATATATAGTACTCAACAACGTGAGTGAGTGAGTTGTGTTTTACGCCGCCATTAGCAATATCGCGGCGGGTAACACCAGATATAGGCTTCACACATTGTACCCATGTTGGGAATCGAACCCGGGTCTTCGATGTGACGAGGGGACACTTTACCACTTGGCTATCCCACCGCCCCCTTAACAACGTGGTACAGTGACATCCATGGATACATGTAACGTAACGGTAGTTTCATCTGACGTCATTTGCTTATTTTCCGGTTGTTATTTGACCTGGGTTTATCACACCGATAAGACTGTTTATCACATGATAAATGCCATGACAACTAGGCTAGATGTATTACGTGTTTATCTTCCTTTTCCCACCTTGGCACACTTAAGAAATAAGAAATGGCTGGAAGCCTCAACTCTCTGCAACTGACGAGTCTGAATAGCGAGAAGAGATTTTTTAGCTTATACCAGGGGGAGCTGGAGGGAGATACGGTTGTCAAAACTACAAAGATATATGCTTTTACAATATCAATTTTTCACAATTCGCTTAACTATTGAACTAATTAAAAACGTTTTTATCTGTGAAAGAAAGCATTTGAAAACGCGTGTAAACTACATGTACTAGGTTCGTATCGTATGTATTCAGATGGCTGTTGTTCGTAAGTGTTCCGGGTTCCACAAGCACACTGAAACAGTATGTACACACGTGTTGTCCTTAATCAGGACGAAAACTCCCATATCCTCACACTTATCATTAAGTTGATTATGTTGTATCGTCTTTACCTCTGTATTCGGGTTGAGCATACGTGGCAGGACCTTCAGAGTGTAGGTGCAGTACCTCCACATTCCTCAGTCCAGCCTTCTTCCCGTACTCGGCCATGGCGTCGGCGAGGGTGATGGGCGTGGCTGCCCCGGCGTGGAGGAACACCTTGTGGCCTGAGATTGGAATCAAAGAAGAAGGATTTACTTTGTGTTTACAGAATATCTTCATCCTGTATGCCTCAATAAACTTATGGGGTTTAGAAAGAGGATCTCATGAATTCATGTTTCTGAGGCAAAGCCAGGTAATATTAATGCCTATGAACATAGATGTTTGTTGCCACAGCGAAAAGGTGTTTAGTCACTACCAAAGCAGATTAAACTTTCAGATTTCAGTTGCAAAAAAATATTAAAGTTGCCTTCGGGGGATTCCTCGTTGCTTTGGGTCAGTATATATATAGTATTTGTACTAAATAGGTTCAGTACCAAGAGTATTACACATAAAGCCTATTGGAGGGAATACAGTATACGGATGTACTGATTGGTTGTTGAGCTGCTGGGCGATATTTATCAGTGCTGCGCAATATAACCGGTTTACCGGTATTTACCGGTTCAGACATAAAAACGATACGTATTGCGATACGCTGATCAAAAACCAGTATTTGGACTTGGTTTCGGAAAACTTCGTAACACTCGGATGTCTTCGGATATTTCTGAGTTTTATTTTGTGCCAAATATCATTTCCATTGTATTTTATCATAATTAAAAGTTGTTAAAGCTTAATCAAGCATAGTTATTTTGTTGTGTTTTTGCTTTCTAAATCAAGCATTAGCTCGATTATAAGTATTTTTTGTATAAAAATACTTCTTGCAATATATTGCAATACATATCGCAATATATGCTTTCGCATCGCAATATATCGCAATATGAAAAGTGTATGCAATACCCACCCCTATTATTTATAGTTTTGAAAACACGTGGGAGTTTGAATCTGACAGAAGATCGCTCACGGTCGCAAAAAACATTGAATCAAATTAAGACTGAATAGAATATGCCTGATACTTCGCTAATCGGAAAACACTTTGAGATATGTATCTACGGTCATAACGAACCCAGAGTTTGAGTTCGTTATAACCGAAGTTTGGCAAATACAATTCGACTACAATAACTGCAAATGATCGTTATATTTCATTACAAGCGTAACCGTTATAAACTCAATTTACTGCATATACAAGCTATACACGTAATTACTAACTAGGTATATGTGTATGTAACTTTATGTATGTGATGCTATTATTGAGTGTGTGTGTGTGTATGTGTGTGTGTGTTTATACCCTCTTCACCACTTGAATTTAGCAATACACATTTTATATAGTTCGCATTCCTACACAAATAACTGCAAAATTGCTAGTGTGTGAGTGAGTGAGCGAATGTGTGTGTGAGAGAGAGAGAGAGAGAGAGAGAGAGAGAGAGAGAGAGAGAGAGAGAGAGAGAGTGCGTGTGAGCGAATGTGTGTGTGTGTGTGTGTGATTATTTTGTGGATTTCTTCATCATACATGAAACAGATGTATGGGCACTTATCCCTTTAACCTTGTGTATCAGTAGTGACTCGGACACCGCGGCCGAGCAGCGAGAAACTGCTTCATGAATTATTCCTCGCGATTCAGCCTTATAACGAATATATTCCAACGCAATAGTGAGGCGATCATGTCAACCGTTACGACAATCCAGCCCACTGAAAGAATATATGATTTCGTACCCAAATTAAACCGCTAACGCATCTCGGACTGGGAAGCAATTATCAATCCGTACCCGAAGTCTAGGTCTAGCTAGGTATAGACAATAATTCAGTGTCTCCTAATCATTAGGAGGCACTGTTACAGCGAAGCGATCAAGGTCTCGGAAAGGACACACAAAACAGCTGGCCGAGACAAGGTCAAGGTCGTACCTGCTGATACAGTTTGTGCAATTGCGATCGAGAACATTCGGCGTAATAGTGGGGATCTCACGTCAAGTGTAAAGATCTCTTATTCTTTGAGTGAGTGAAGCTCAGAAATATCCAACACAACGAATACATTCAATTCAGCGACCTTCACTGTGACGACACAGTCTACCATAGTCTTCACTTCAACAGCTTGTCACGGACAACAACGTTTTCCAAGCCTACCTCCATTTTCACGACCAGTATATATAAGAATAATTGATACAGTAGGACTCGTTTTACGAACAAGAAATTATTCAGAAATGTAGCCCAGGTATGTTTCTGTGCACACACATGTACCCGAGCGCTGAGAAGTATGTACAGCAAGGTTTATTTTCATGATATAAAGTTGTCTGTATGACTGTCAAGCGAACTCAATCGTGCATGCAGTATGCCCTATATTTACCTGGTTGCCAACTATCCTCACTTTATAGCTGTAAATATTGCCACATATCAACGCGCATCCACTCGGATTTACCCCCATACGTGTGTGTGTTTACAGCACTACCTGAAGTACATGCCTATAGGGGGGATGTTATAAGACAACATCCTCAGCAATATCAACCTAACTATGCCCAGGTGATATGATCCAGTATCAGCTATAGCAATCACTATCTAGTTCATATCTGTGTTATTTCCCATCGCAAGGATGAGGAGGTAGAGCTATTCTGCATTTGAGTTTCCAAGCCAACAGTACAGCGAGTGTAATGCCCTATGGGAAAACCACACAACAGCTCTTACCAGACTGGATAACTGACACTGCCTCTTCCGCGCTCATCCATTTCGGTTGCCGGTCAGGATATGGATGAAACGGTTCGGAAGAGTAGAGATAATATGTCCTTGATATCAAGCCATTTACACTTCGGACACTCGTCTTCAACAGCGTCCGAAAAGAGCTGCTTGTTAGCGTCATAGCGACTGCCCATCTACTGTAGCAGACGATAATATATTAGTACGTTCGCACCGGAAATGGCTGGATAGCCGGTTTGAAATGTGAGGTTTACGTGCAACTATGCATTTATCAATCTTCACATATCATATTACACTGACGTTGCGAGAACACTGAAACATGTACAAGATCCCATTTTTCGTAAGTATTAAACAACAATACGCAAGAGCTTGCGCAGGGGAGGTAATCGGGTGTGTGCAGTTATCGTAGTATGGCGCCGTCACGTAGCGGAGGTTGACTGCAGTTGTAAACAGCTTATTGATCCACATCACACATCAGGTTGTTAACAGGGTTTATCTTGAGGGATAGTCACGGAAACTGCGGGTCGACACGTAACCCGTCTTAATACAAAGGGGATGCGCAATTCCCCTATAAATCCTTGGCGCCGGCTGTGCGTTCGTTATCATTCCGTTGGGGTCATTAAAGTTGTTCCGGCGTGCTGTAGATCCTGATATATGTAGCTGAAACTCTCAAGGTAATAGATAAAACTAATAGATAAAAGATCCACAGATAATCTAGCGCCAACTGGCTAGAATAAACTAAAAGAACATCAGAAAAACACATTTTTCTGTGCAAGATGAAGTGATAAGGAATATTGGATTAACATGATGCCGGTTGCATGTTGACGATTGAATGAGTGGTTATAGGTTTGAGTCTTTCTGTGGAATATTATGAAAATACCACGGCAAATACACTACACATGGACCTTACAATATTGGACACAGGTGTGGAACCGAATCCATGCTCTCAAAGTGACTACCTGACACTTTTACCACACGGCTTTACCCACCGGGAGAATTTAATGACATATTGCTAACACCAACACTACACAACCGTTGTTGTAATGTTTACAACATTACGGTCATCGGTAAATCAGCAACAAACCTTTGATCGTGGGTCACTAAAGAAGTATACGTTTACAACCGGCTTCTTCCTCAGCTGACACGCCACGTAGTTGAATAAAAACAGCAACAAAGTCATTATTTTGTCGTCGTTTTCATTTTTACGATATAAGCTTTTCTAAATTATACGCTGAGGAATGCTTTCAAACTATACACGCTATCTCCACCCCTCTGTTGTTTTATATTTTTAACGCCGCACTTAGCTGTATTCCCGACCTGACATGATCGAGTCCAGACCAGGATATAGTGATTGATAATGCGACCAACGATCCACGCCGTCTGAGTACGATGAAGCGCCATTAACCAAGTCCCCCTCCATCCCCACTTGATACCTTCCACAAGTTTAGGTTGCGTGGACAGCAACCCGGACAGCGTGGATTCTTGCTCATGACCATTCGTGACCAACTCGTGTTATAACGGGACAAGCCGAATAGTGTCTTCTTGGAGGTTACGGAAAGAGACAAGTGGCGACGAATGGCTCATGACGTCAGTCACTGGATGTCTGGTCCAGACTCGACTGCACACCTGGCTCGTCCAAACACGCCCCTAACTCGTGAGTGAGTAAGTGGGTATTGGTTTACGCCGTTTTTAATAATACTACAGCAATATCACGGCGGGGGACACCAGAATTGGTTTCATATATTGTACCCGTGTGGGGAATCGAACCCGGGTCTACAGCGTGACGAGCGGACGCTTTAATCATTAGGCTACCCCACTACTCGAAAACCTTCACAGTGGGAATATTACCATCAAACAAAGATCCTTCTTCAGAGTAAAATTCCACATATTTAATTAATACAATACGTATGAAAGGACCAATCTAGTGCAATATCAGAAGCTCTTTTTCACTCAACTTGATTTTATAACTACTGGAGTGCTGTCTGAATAGTCAAAACAGAGTTACTTCCCTTACACCACAGTGCCGGACGCAACATCATATGCAAACGTTGACATAATGACTGTTATCTGGAAATAGGGAGTTATAGTGGAGCTCTATGTCCCATAACCAGGTCGGTCCCATGACGAATTGAGCTATCGATATGACAAACCAGTTCGATAAACGTGGTATTACAATCTGATGATGATACACTCAGGTCAGCTGCCAGGAACATTCCTGGATGCGATGCTTTAACACTGGAAACTGTCCTGCCTTCCCTTCCCCTTCGGAGGATATCGTCCGAAACTGTCGTGATCATCTTTGCACATGGGGCGATTTCAAGGCTGTCAGGCCGAGAAATAGACTAACGTTTAGTCTTTGAATATATATAATTTTGATTGTAATAACTAACAAATTTAAATTGAAAAGGAGCCCCAGTGAGAACTGAACTTGGGAAAATCTAGACTTGCTTCATTTAGGGCTTATCATTGCAGGGAGGCCTAGGCTGTAGGGAAAATAATATGGTTAAGAGACTGGGAGACAGACTAGGCAGTAGGGAAAATAATATGGTTAAGAGACTGGGAGACAGACTAGGCTGTAGGGAAAATAATATGGTTGAGAGACTGTGAGACAGACTAGGCAGTAGGGAAAATAATATGGTTGAGAGACTGAGACAGACTAGGCAGTAGGGAAAATAATATGGTTGAGAGACTGAGACAGACTAGGCAGTAGGGAAAATAATATGGTTGAGAGACTGTGAGACAGACTAGGCAGTAGGGAAAATAATATGGTTGAGAGACTGAGACAGACTAGGCTGTAGGGAAAATATATGGTTGAGGAACTGTGAGACAGACTAGCTGAGAAAGAGCTCCAGGTGTAAACACAATCTAGACTTCCTTCATTTAGGGCTTATCATTTCAGGGAGGGCTAGGCTGTAGGGAAAATAATATGGTTGAGAGACTATGAGACAGACTAGGCAGTAGGGAAAATAATATGGTTGAGAGACTATGAGACAGACTAGGCAGTAGGGAAAATAATATGGTTAAGAGACTGGGAGACAGACTAGGCTGTAGGGAAAATAATATGGTTGAGGGACAGTGAGATAGACTAGCTGAGAAAGAGCTCCAGGTGTAAACACAATCTAGACTTCCTTCATTTAGGGCTTATCATTGCAGGGAGGGCTAGGCAGTAAGGAAAATAATATGGTTAAGAGACTGGGAGACAGACTAGGCAGTAGGGAAAATAATATGGTTGAGAGACTGTGAGACAGACTAGGCTGTAGGGAAAATAATATGGTTGAGAGACTGTGAGACAGACTAGGCAGTAGGGAAAATAATATGGTTGAGGGACAGTGAGATAGACTAGCTGAGAAAGAGCTCCAGGTGTAAACACAATCTAGACTTGCTTCATGTAGGGCTTATCATTGCAGGGAGGGCTAGGCTGTAGGGAAAATAATATGGTTGAGAGACTGTGAGACAGACTAGGAAGTAGGGAAAATAATATGGTTGAGAGACTGGGAGACAGACTAGGCTGTAGGGAAAATAATATGGTTGAGAGACTGGGAGACAGACTAGGCAGTAGGGAAAATAATATGGTTGAGAGACTGTGAGACAGACTAGGCAGTAGGGAAAATAATATGGTTGAGAGACTGAGACAGACTAGGCAGTAGGGAAAATAATATGGTTGAGAGACTGAGACAGACAGACTAGGCAGTAGGGAAAATAATATGGTTGAGAGACTGAGACAGACTAGGCAGTAGGGAAAATAATATGGTTGAGAGACTGAGACAGACTAGGCAGTAGGGAAAATAATATGGTTGAGAGACTGTGAGACAGACTAGGAAGTAGGGAAAATAATATGGTTCAGAGACTGGGAGACAGACTAGGCTGTAGGGAAAATAATATGGTTGAGGGACAGTGAGATAGACTAGCTGAGAAAGAGCTCCAGGTGTAAAGACAATCGCGTGTCCGAATGACATGTACCAGAAAATTGTTTCTCAGCCTGTGGATGTTTCTGTACAGACACGTGCAAACCAATCAGTTGACACTCAGTGTTTTTTAGTTTAGTGAATGTATTCTGTCTCGCACGTAATTAGTTTGCGAATAAAGGGCTCTCGTAACAAATTCATCCGTACTCACTAATATACGTAGCTTCTGCGAAAACAAACTTTGCGAATAATCTTAATATCATAACAGCACACGTACAATATCAATGACAGTGGTCGCAATAGCGGAATTGCAGAACTCTAAAAGTGGTCATGATCAGTATAGTGGTTCTGAACCTGTTTTATTTTGTCTGTCCACATATTGAAAAAACACACACGCACGCGCGCACAGACATGTTCAACAGTTACACTTATTATAACATGGTTGGCCCAGTCGTGTAAGACTCCGCATATCCTGGGTCTCATACTGTGTTGTGTCCCTGGGCAAGGCACTTCGTCCACATTGCACTCATTCCACCCAGCTGTTTAAAATGGGTACCTGAAAAGCGGATGTACGGACCTATACGGTCGCGCTTAGCGCTTAGTAGCATCTTTGAAAGTACAATTCCGTCAGGGTAATAATGTAACGCCAGAGAACAGCATAGCGTTGGATTCTAGGCGCAAAAATTAGCATTATTATTATTATTATTATTATTATTATTATTCTGCTCCAGAAACTTGGAGTCAGGATTTGATCCTAGTGAGAGGTAGCCTAGCTACGTTCGCCCGTCACATCGAAGACCCGGGTGCGATTCCGCACATGGGTACAATATGTGAAACCCAAATATAGTATTTCCCTTGCCGTGATACTGCTGGAATATTTCTGAAAGCGGAGGAAAGGAGGAAACTAAACTCACTCACTCGTCCTGGTAACGTTTCTAAGATTTTCAGCACCACACCAATGTGCTAGAGATTCACCAAAATGTGACATTGTTGCAGTCTTGGTCCAACATCAAGCTAATACGATTGGAAACCACATCGACATTACTATAAACCAAATTCACACACACAGTATAAAATCAGTACAATGTATATAAAATGATGAAAATGTTTTAGCTGCTGAAATGGCTAAAATCCTTATCCGTACATTTCCGGATTTACCGACCTGCCGATACAGCGAAATCGGATATACCGAATATTTGGTTATAAGGAAGCCATGTCGGTTATTTATTCAAATAGAATATATATCGATATCATTACTCAGCTAAATAACAAATTTCAAATGTAACGAAATGTATTCGAGACATCCGCAGTTGACAATAATCATGTCAGTCCTGCTGGTAGTCACAACACTGGTAAACAGAATTCATGGGTCGACTTTCCCTTTACGAAATCACTTTCAGGGCTGTGTCCCGCCCAGCCTACACAGGGACTCCTATCCAACCCACCATTCAAAGTCAACGAAGCTGTATGTGATATACGTGTGTCTGTCAAACAAAACATCGAGTCCTGCCCATAGCAGTCACTGTTC